TCACTGCGGCTGCTGGCCGCTCACGCTGGCTGCTGGCTACACACGGTAGCCCATGGCAACCCACTGCCACAGGGACTGCAGCCTACGCCGTCGCCGTCGCCGTTGACTCATGGCAGCCCAGCTCCAGGTTGAGTTGTTGTTCAGCATCTTAGCTGTAGAGGGCAGTGTCACCGGCCCTTATATGTGGGATCCGAACCGGGACCCTCTGACGTCCCAAGCCAGTTCTTAACCATCATGCCACTTGGCCAGCCCGAGGACAGGATTTTTATCGTTTTCCTTCACCACTTTGTCCTAGCACCTAGAACAGTTCCTAGTACATAATAGGCACTTAGTAAATATTTTTTGAATGAATAAATGGAACTTCCCTTCTTCCATTTCCCATAGTACTCTTTCATCTTTCTTATGACTGTCTACATACCAATTTAAAATATATTAAGAGCCTTTTCTAATCTTCCTTTACTTATAGTCAGTGCACTTGTTTTAAGGCATAATTTCATTACTGCTATCGTTCTGCCTCTTTCTAGTCTTTTCCATTAATAGGGATGCTTAAAACCTTACCTCAAAACTTCATTATTTTCCATGAAGCTAATATACTAGTTAAAACTCATAATTATTTATTAATTCTGTTCTGCAAAGTAATTGTCCTCATTTGTTGTATTTTTCCTGGTTGACATGTAAGCTTTGTTTACATTGCTTAATTTCTCTAACTGTGGGAGAAACAAGGATAGTTAACCACCATTAATCATCTCCCAGCATTTATAGAACACTTCATATATTTATTTAGTTTGTCATCTGCAGTATAACTTTATTCTTCTTGTGATGGCGTTTGTTTTTACATCACTATCACTATATGGTAGATAGAATGTTTAGATCTATTTCACTGATTAGGAAACAGACACCAGAGAGATCAAATGACTTTGCCATGGTTAAGTAATTAATTTCTCAAGACTTAGGTGGGGAGATAGTCACAATTTAATAGATGTGTGTGACTTCTTCTTTTTTTTTTTTTTTTTAAAGATTTTATTGGAGAATTGGGGGAGGGAACAGCCAAGTTGTTATCCTTCAATATTAGTTGTGGAGGGTACAGCAAGCTCAGCTCCAAGTACAGTTGCACCACAGCTCAAAGTGCTGTGTTCAGTTAGTTGCGGATGGGTGTAGCCCACCATTGAACAGGCAACCTTGTTTAGGAGCACGTGCTCTCACCAGCTGGGCCATCCTGCCAACAGGATGCTCGGGCGCAGCTCACTGGCCTATGTGGGAAACGAACCAGCGACCCTGTTACTCAGAGCTCGCACTCTTGAGCAAGCTCTTAGCCAACTGAGCCACTCGGCTGGCCCTGTGTGTGACTTCTTAAAAGATAACTTTTCAAAGAAAAATTAACATTAAATTGATAATTCTGTCTGAAGATATTCTGTTAACGACTGATATTTGCAAAGTTTTATATGTATTTGTTAAATACCGCTTTTTGTTGTTTTTTTTCTGAGTGGGGGGGTGGTTTTTTGTTACAGAAATCATTCCAGACTGGGACAAATGCACGTCTAGATGAACGTATTTTTGCTATGTGTCAAGTGAAAAACCAGCCCTTGGTTTACCTTATGCTCACAACTCATCCCAATTTGTATAGAGTTGACAATCTCTCAGATGAGGTAAGATTGATTCATTTTTCAGTGGCTTTTACTTGAAGGTTTTAAGCCTAATTATATTGAGTCCATTGTAGAAATGAAGAAAGATTTGTTTTTTAAATCTTTTTATTTTATTGCTTTTCTAGATCTGTGAAAAGAAATTTTGGTTTTGGGAAGCTCCTGAAAATAGTTCCTTTATTTAAGTTGCCTGAGACAAATCTCTAGAGCAGATCTAAGTCATTTATTTAGAGATTGTCAAATTGACCAGAGCAACCTATGATTTATATATTTAAATAAATTGCTCGGAAAGGAGTATCCTGAGTTAAATTACATCTAAACACCTCAGTTTAATGTTTAGTGTAACAGTGTTTTTGAATTAAAGAAAAAATATTTATCTAAGGTGTAACCTTATTTGCCCTTGATAGGAAATTTATCCGAGTTAAAGTCCCAAACAGAGATAAGGTCTAATTAAGTACCTAGCTTAAGTACTTAAATTTATTTTTGGTCAAATATGAATAGTTAGGAGTATTTAAAGGTGCGCACGCGTGTGTGTGTTTTCAGATAACAGTATATTATAGTCAATTTCTGGCTTTAATAAATAAAGGTCAAATTGGAGATTTGATACTAAAATCTCATTTGTATCAAGCTTTTATTCCTTCCTCAGGATGTGTACACGATCCAAGCCATGCATTCATTCATTATTAACTAAATTCCAGACTTTATTGGGATGTCACTAATGTCATTTATCTGTTCAGGATATGTGGATATCAATTGCATTTATTGTACTAATTTTTAAAGTAATAGTTAAGATCAGAAGTTAATTTGGCTTTATTGGGATTCATAGTGGCTTTGTGAATAAGTGGCATTTCTTCATCTTTTTTATATTTAAATATGAATAATTGTCAATTTAAAAAAAAATTGTGATTCCATATTATCTGTATCTAAAAGTTTTCATCTTTGGTTTAACTTCAGGGAGCTCTCAATATCAATGATCGCACCATACCTCAGCCACCTATTCTTCAGCTTTCGGTGGAGAAGCTGAGCAGGGATGGAGCTTTTCTCATGGATGCAGGCTCTGTGAGTAGTCTGACTGTCATCCGGTCCTTCTCTCTGCCTGTTATTGTACTATACCTTCACTCTCCTCCTGAACAGGTTATATGCAATTTAATCTATATGTTTTTGTATTAGCCACCTTCTCCCTCCATAGTTTCCTTTTATACCAAGCATAAAACATCTCATCTTGGTAAATGTTGTCATTATTAGTTCATTTGAAGGCTCTACAATCTCACCAAACTTATCATTTTGAGATTTTAAAACATAGTCAGTGGTAAAGGTGAATCAACAGGTCACTCTTGCTACATCTCAAAATAATTTTCTTCCTGTCTGTAGGTACTGATGCTTTGGGTTGGAAAAACTTGTGGACAGAATTTTCTCAACCGAGTTCTAGGAGTTCAAAACTATGCATTAATTCCACACACTATGGTAAGACTGTCTAATTGTAGTGATTGTAGTAGACTTGAAGGAAGTTTTTCCAAAAAAGAAAATGTTCCCACAGATTGTTTCTCTTCCAGTTGAAAATACTCAAAAAGAACAGATAAATTACTGATAATTTATCTGTTCTTTTTATTAATTACAGTTGACATAAAATATTGTATTAGTTTCAGGTATACAATGTAGTGATTAGACATTTATAGAACTTATGCAGTGATCACCCTGATAACTTATCTGTTCTTATGTGTCTGTGACAGTACAGTCTTTTATGGAAAAGGTAATGAATTTCATAGATGGCAAAAAAAAAACCAAAAAAAAAATTCTTGCTGCAATTGGCAATAGCATTGTGGCCTTTCTTATTTTTGTCTCTGGTGTTTTTGGCACATGATTTGTCCTTTTAACTTCTGCTTTGGAGTAAGAACTAAGCTAATTGCCACATAAGCAAATGATTTGTGATCAGTGTCAGCTGGTTACTATTGATTATTGAAGAAAGTAATAGTGGACTCTATCACTAGCTCTGTGACCTTGGACAAGTAACTAACAGCCGGAGGAATTCTTGAAATAATCCATGAGAAAGCATTTGTTTTGAATTTTATTTATGGGTTTAACTCCATTCATAGACGTCATTAGGAGATTCTTGTATTTAGAATACTTATGTGTCAGGATTATAGCTAGGCTTAGCACTAGCTTTCAGGCTTTGAGTAAACTTATTGGTCTGAATGACTGGACATTTTAAGTAAAGAGGAAATAAGAAATTGTCTTATTTGTAACAACTGCCTGAATTAATCAGTTAATTCTAAATGTCATAAAATGAAGAGTTAGGATGTTCTTCTAGATCAAGGTTCAGCAAATTATGCTCAAGGGGGCAGTGCCACCTGTTTTTGTAAATAGAGTTTTATTGGAACATAGCCATGTCCATTCACTTATGTATTATCTATGTCTACTTTAGTGGAACAACAGTTGAGTAGTTGCAACTATAAAAGACCTGCAAGCCTAAAGTATTTACTTTCTGTCCCTTTAAGAAGTTTGCCCACCCCTTACTAGAAAATTGTGGTATGCCAAATCTCAGACCCTTCCCCAGATTCCTAAATCAATATCTGAAATTCAGCAAGATCCCCAGGTGATTCATCTACAGTAATCCCCCTTTACCTGTGGTTTCACTCTCTGTGGTTTCAGTTACCCACAGTCAACAATGGTTTGAAAATAGTAAATAGAAAATTCCAGGAATAAACAATTCACAAGTTTTAAATTGCATGCTATTCTTAGTGTGATGAAATCCTGCGTCGTCCCGCTCCGTTGCCCAGGATGTAAATCATCCCTTTTCCAGTGTATCCATGCTGTATACCCTACCTGCCCATTAGTCACTTACTAGCTGTTTCAGTTAGCAGATTGACTGTTGGGGTATCAGAATGCTTGTGTTCAAGTAGCCCATTATTTTATTTAATAGTAGCCCAAAACACGAGTAGTGATGCTGGCAATTTGGATATGCCAAAAAGAAGCTATAAAGTGCTTCCTTGAAGTGAAAAGGTATGTATGTATAGGAAAAAACATAGTATATGTAGGGTTCAGTACTATCCACTGTTTCAGGCATTAACTGGGGATTCTTGGAATGTATCTCCCATGGATAAGGGGCAATTATTGTACATGATAAAGTTTGAGAATCACTGTAGATGATACATTAGCTATGTGATTAGAGTAAGCTGGATATTGCCGGTTTTTGTTTAATAGACAGACCTTCCGGAACTTGATACACCAGAATCTGCCAGAACAATAGCTTTCATCTCTTGGCTTAGAGAGCAGAGACCATTTTTCCCAATACTTTATGTAATAAGGTAAGTTTAATTTCTCATGTGCTAATAGTGAAACAGTTTGTTTGGTCTTGCAAGAACCTATTTTGAGTCATAGATACATGTCACCTATTGCTTAAGCAAACCCTTTAGAAGAATATAGGGGGGATAAAAAGCTGTTTTTGCCATCTTTCCATGCGGCCATAATGGTGCGCATGAATGTCCTGGCCGATGCTCTCAACAGCATCAACAATGCCGAGAAGAGAGATAAGCGCCAGGTTCTTATTAGGCCCTTGCTCCAAGGTCATCGTCCAGTTTCTAACTGTGATGATGAAACATGGTTATATTGGCGAATTTGAAATCATTGATAATCACAGCACTGGAAAAATTGTTGTGAACCTCATGGGCAGGTTAACAAGTGTGGAGTGATCAGCCCCAGATTTGATGTGCAACTCAAAGATCTAGAAAAATGGCAGAACCACCTACTCCCATCCCGCCAATTTGGGTTTCATTGTACAGACAACCTCAGCGGGCATCATGGACCATGAAGAAGCAAGACGAAAATACACAGGAGGGAAAATCCTGGGATTTTTTTTCTAGGGATATAATACATACATATATGCAAATAAAATGCCTCAATGGAAAAAAAAAGGATATAGAAAAAACTTAACTTTATTAAGTTATTAATAAAAAGTGTTTCAAAAGCCTTGTGACAAATTCACTGTTTATTACATTTTATCTAATTTATATATTTTTCTTTTATTCCTAAGGGATGAGAGTCCAATGAAAGCAAACTTTCTTCAAAACATGGTAGAAGACAGAACAGAATCTGCATTATCATATTATGAATTCCTCTTGCATGTACAACAGCAAGTCAATAAATGAACAAATGAAGATATCTGACTTGGTTATTTCTAAGGAAAGTCACGATCATACAGAACACCTGAGAATGTATAATACCTTCCTTTTCTATTAGGTTTGTGGACTGATATGTTGATTATATGTTCCCACTGTGATTTCAACAAACTATAGCAAATAAAGGACCATAGCAGAGAATCAAACATGCAACTCTGAAATACTGTATTTTTCAAATCAAAATATATCTACATATGATCGGATACCTTTTTTCCTTTGCTGCCAATTATGTTTGAGCTGTTATGGATTGAAATAAGATGAGACAATGTTGCAGAGGCAAAATACATTTTGTAAAATAAAGACTTCTGTGTTCCAAATGTATATTTCTCATTTTTTTCTGAATTTTTGGCTGCTACATTTAAAACCTCACAAGACAAATGTTACAGGGAAGTTAAAAATCCATTAATGATTTCTAAAATAAAAAAATTCTAGAAGTAATAGTATATAGAAAAACTAGAATCCATCCCCCATACCTGTTTTTTTTCCTTATTTAAGGAAGAAAAAGAATCATCATGTTAACTAAAACTAGAGTAAACTAACTCTAGTCTAGCTTGAGAAGAATATGAAATAATACACAATCAAGCTTTAAAATCTGTCAGTATTCTCTATACTTAAAGAACAAAGTCACCTTGATTTGAAGTGTAAACTGTAAGTTGTTTTCTGATTTGACTGCAAAGGACTTGGACACGCTATTTTATTCTGCAGTGAAAAGAATCTGAGCTATCTTCATTAAATACATTGGGGCTAGCAATGATAATAGGGAGATGAGGAACTAGTTACCTTGATCCTTTAAGTGGGTTTTGTTTGGTACATTTCTGCTCTGCGAAATGTAATAAGTGTTATATTGGTGAAATGAGGATGAATGAAAGAAATTAAAGTTTTCTTAAATGCTGTCTCAAATGTATCAGTAACATTTTTCTAAGGACTTTAAATTGAAAGCCACTCATAAGAGGTTTATTCTTGGATATTAAAACTTATTAAAGCATGAATGCTGCTGTTTGATTTGATGGATATTAAGATTACATAAATCGAGTATATTGAAGTTATGAAAGAAACTTGATTTCTGAACATGCTCAAGAGACTGCTTTTTTGATTCAGCCGGAGAAATATAGTCAAAACCATTAAGTGAATTTTGTTTACACATAGATAAATTATACATCTGTATATTTAAAGTGCTGTGATAGAATATCTTTAAGAGTTTGGCCCAGTTTTCACAGATTCATATTGTCTTGTATGAACTTCTTAAAGTAAAAGATGTTCATGTGTAATACTTGATGAAAAGATTTTTGTTTGTTTTTAATGGGTAGAAAAATGTGTTTACAATCTTGGTCTCATGTGATCACCAATGAAATAATAACTTTCAGGTTTACATCAATATGAGCTGACTTTAACTGAGTTGTTTTGGGATAGGGAAGAAGTAGGTCCCACTAGAGTATATACTACTGTCTGTCATCTGGATCAGAATAATTGTGTTTTATAAAGATATCATCTCCCTTAAGCAGTGTTAAGGTTTATTTTCAGTATGCGAGTGGTATATTGAACTAGAAATATTCTTGAAAGCTGCTTCATTTATTAGGAAGCAATTTTCAAAGTGTAGCACATAAAAATCAATTTGTATTTCCCCCCCTTTTAAATAAATTGAGTAATTATTATGCACTGATGTTTCTTAAAATAATTAAAATTCTCTTCTTAATGTGAATTTTAAATGTTGATATTTATAGGTCCGTTCTTAATAGCAGTAAAGAATCTTCCAGAGGGAAAAGTGTGCTTCTAGGGACAATAATCTTCCTTGTGCCTCACTTCATCCCTAAGTGGGTATGACTCTTGTTATTACTACATGCTTTGTTAGTATATTTCACAAATTTACTTTAAAAAATTTACTTTAAAAAATTATTTTAGATATTGTGTAACATGTGCAATCCAGAATAATTTTATAATAGCCAGGTCATAAAAAACATAACTTTAGTTAGGATTCACAGTATTTGTTCTCTGGATAATGAGGGAATGAATGAACCTTTTGGAGATATTGATATTAAGCAATTATTTTTTGCAATATTGAGTGTGTTTTTTAGTTTGATTTTTTTTTGCAATAGGGCACTACCTGCTATCTCATCTTGTATTACTTTTTTATGTAAAGCAACTAATATTTACACTATGCCATATTTTTTTTATTGTAGTTGTAAATTATGAAAGATCCTTGAATTTTCTACAGATCTACAACTACTAACGTAACAGATAAGGGCAATCTTGGTATTTAAATCTGAGCATGGCAGTTCTACCATAAAAAGTACTCTATTTTTCTAATTTCTAGGATTTTTAAAATAACATTTCTGTAAGTCTGACATATTAATATTCACTCAAGCTGTACCATTTATTTTAGTTTGCATATATTTCAGTGTTTTAATTTAATGTATTGAGTTTATGTTTTAAGTAGAATAAAAGATTTATGTCTTCTAATCAAAATGTGTAACAGCTATTATCTAGGGGACCACCAAATGTGATTTCAAGATTTTGTTAACTATTAAATATAATCCTTATATAGAAATTTTAATTTTGTAAAGTAGTGTATAATATTGTAACATGAAATTCTTGTTTTCAAATTCAAATATGTATTGATCTTCAATGTGTTGTGTTAAATCTTGCTTCTCTGAAATGATAGAGACAAGATTTGTCTTCCTTTTTACAGTTTGTAGTTTTCACTGTTTTATTCCTGTAAAAAAAAAAAAGTCATTTGTAACCCATGCAAATAATCATTTGAAATGTGCTAACTTATCAATTTGGTTATTCAATAAAATTAATTGAAAGAGCTTACATATAGTGACTAGTTATTTTTTAAAGTGATATGAATAACTTGCCAATCATTGAGTAGTGCTATGTTTTGCATCCAAATGGTCAGTGGAAAACTTTTGCTGAAGGTGCTTTATATTTAAATCTAAGTCAGTTTCTGGGAGGTTATAAGCCAAATTCTTTTTTTTTGTTTGTTTTTCAGTCTACCAAAATACCTTCTCTTTTTTTTTTTTTTTGAAGATTTTTATTGGGGAATTGGGGGAATGGGAACAGTGCTGGGGAATTGGGGGAAGGGGAACAGACAAGTTGCTGTCGTTTTGTTCTTCAGTCTAGTTGTGGAGGACGTTGCTTCACTGGCCCAAGTTGGCACCATCATTGCGCTCTTCCCGGGCGAGGCAGAACAGTCGCCAGCATCTGAACGGCCGCTCACTGCGGCTGCTGGCCGCTCACGCTGGCTGCTGGCCACACACGGTAGCCCATTGCAATCCACTGCCACAGGGACTGCAGCCTACGCCGTCGCCGGTGACTCATGGCAGCCCAGCTCCAGGTTGAGCTGTTGTTCAGCATCTTAGCTGTGGAGGGCAGTGTCACTGGCCCTCACATGTGGGATCCGAACCGGGGCCCTCTGGCATCCCAAGCCAGCTCTTAACCATCGCGCCACTCAGCCGGCCCTACATTTTTCACTTCTAAGATTGATTTTTTATATCCACTTATTTCTGCTTGTTTTGTTTAATAGTGTATTAAAGCTTTTATAAAATTATTTCTGGAATGAATTCCAATTTTTAATTTGGCAGAATTTAAATGCTGTATGTCTTCATGTTAGTTAGAATTTGGGTTTGTAGGCTTATTTGAGTGGGTGGGTTTTTATTTTCGTTTCAGCTCATCTCACTCTGTCCACGCTTTCCCTTTCCCTATCTATGGATTTTTTAGTTCCATTTCCTGGCCCCTTCCCCAAAACTAGGGCTCATGGTGGGGTTTCAGAGCTCCTGTCCTGCGGTGATTTTGGGATATCACCATTCTAGTCACCAACAGCGGGGAAGTCTAGCTGTTTGCCCTCTCTTGCCTCCCTACTTATAAAGTTGAAGTCCAAGCCTATATGGGTCAATAGCAAATTTTAAAATATTTTTGGAGGGAGAACAGACCTTAGGTAGTGTTTGGCCTGTTCTTCCCTGTTTCACCTTCAGTGATTCTTACCCATAGAATGTGCTACCATTGTCTGCTTCTGAATCTGCAGCCCAATAGGCAGAAGACTTCAGCTCTGCAATGCTTTGTCTCCAGTACTTTGATGTTTCTTTTGTTTTTGAGTCCAGCTGTTTACTTTTATCCTTTATATTTTTAACTGTTATTGTTATTGCTGTGTGGAGAAGGGGTCCAAGAACTTACTGTCTACTTTTAATTCCAGAAAATGAAATCTAGTTTTATTACTTGTGATTCAATCTGTTCAGCTTTGTATCTAGTTTATCAATGAAGTATTAATATTTGCCTACCTAAATAATGCGAGGGTCAAATAAAAATTATACATAAAACTCATTGAAAATGCCAAGTTTTGACACGTCCTCTAAAAGAAAAATTTCTCCAGCTATTCAGTTAAGTTTAATCTAGTGCTCTCAGTGTTAGGTTTGGGGCAAAGTAGTAAATTAAAAAAAAAAAAAAAAGGCCGTCCGAGTGGCGCGATGGTTAAGAACTGGCTTGGGACGCCAGAGAGCCCCGGTTCGGATCCCACATATGAGGGCCAGTGACACTGCCCTCCACAGCTAAGATGCTAAACAACAGCTCAACCTGGAGCTGGGATGCCATGAGTCGCAGGAGACGGGTAGGCTGCAGCCCCGCTGCAGTAGGTTGCCATGGGCTACCGTATGTAGCCAGCAGCCAGCGTGAGCGGCCAGCAGCCGCAGTGAGCAGCTGTCCAGAAGCCGGCAACTGATCTGCCTCACCCGGGAAGAGCGCAATGATGGTGCCAACATGGGCCAGTGAAGCAACGTCCTCCACAACTAGACTGAAGAACAAAATGACAGCAACTTGTCTGTTTTCCTTCCCCCAATTCCTCAGCACTGTTCCCGTCCCCCTTCCCCAATAATAAAAAAAAAAAGGTGGGCTTGCCCTTATAAAGACAATAGTGAGGGAGATAGAAATTAATTCAAGACTTGTTAAAAAATCTTGACACTTAATTCTTACCTGACTAAATGAGCCATCATACATCAATACATCTATCTGAAGAACCAAATTTTTCATTTGGCTTCTATAGATTTCAAGTGAAAAAATCTTTTATCCTGGAACTATTATCTGCTCTTGCTTCATCAGGATTGTACCTCATCAAGTTCTGCACATTTATTACTATTTTACAATTACTTAAATTGTAGAAATTTTTTAAAAAGACATAGTCTGAGCCTCAGAGATGTAGATCTGGATAGAAAATGCAGGTGAAATTCTTCTAAAGCTTTGCGATTATTAACTAAGGCATGTCCCTGAGATTTAACTTTCATCCAATCAAGAGGTAATGTTCATTGTTTTCACTTGAGCTCCTTATGTGTTGAATCCAAAAGATAAGTTGTTTGTTTGCTTTTTGTGCACTTTTTTCTCAAACACCTTTTCTGTCTGGGACAGGGTTAGATGGCTAACAGTTAGATATAGTGTTTTATTACTTTCTAAGAGGGGTTTCACCTGCTTCCTAATTTTGAGCCTGATTGTGCAGCTGGCTTCATTGCAGGGGTCGCAATAGGCTGCTTCAACCCCTGCAGCCTGTCAGCCAGTTAATGGAGAATTAAATTCCTCTCATTTATTTCCTCATTCACTTAGTCATTACTGAGCTCCAGGGCTGCAATTTTAGGCCCTACGCACTTTGTTTTCGTGGGTTCTTTCCTCCATAAAAGCATACTTAAAATTATATATTATGACTGTGTTGGTATAAGGAAGATTATAATCCAGGCTGGGTTCATTACTGTATATCAATTATTATTACATTTTTTTCTGATTTTTAAAGAAGTTAAAAACATTTTCTTGGGCTCCTAAGACTATCTGTGGACCCTCAACACTGTCTAATAAGTAAGTCGGCCCTGCTGAACGCTCACACTGCTCCAGGCATTGCATCCTTGAACAAAACACAGCGCTTGTCTTCACCGAGCTTACATTCTAATGAGAAACAGGCAATAAACAAAAGTACATTTAGCTTGTGAGGCAGTTATAAGTGTCAGGGAGAAAAGGAAGGCAGATAGACTAGGTACTAGACTTACCCGGGTGATCATTTCATAAGTTATATTAATGTCTAATAACTATGTTGTATACCTGAAATGAATATAATATTGTACGTCAACTGTTAGTCAATTAAAAAAAGATATTTTAAAAAGCGATTAGTAGTTTTGAGACGGGGTAGCAATCTGAATAGAATGGACTGGGAAGGCTTCCCTGGGGAAGTCTTGGACAAAGACGTAAAGAAAGCCTGGAAGAACCAAGCCCATTTAGGAGAAGAGCGGTAGAGGACGAGAAAACAGTAGGAATAACAAATCCCAAACGCCACGCTCCTTAAAGCGTCGCTCCCAGAGTTACGTATTCCAGAGACCTATAAACGAGGCCGCAGAAGGTCAGTGGAACACGTGCCTGCCGTTGCAACCTCCATTTTGTTTCCTGGCACCAGTCTTATATGAGACTACTACTCGCTCCCATTCCTTTCCCTCTGGTCAGGCGAGATGTCGATTTTCTTCACCTCCGAGTGGACAGTAGAGCGGCCTGGTGGCGGGGGAGAGGAACGGTAAGGGCCAGCCCAGACGGAGGCAACTGGGGCGTCCCACTCTGCCCTCACTCAAAATGGCGGCTCAATCCTCCGCTTGGTCCCATCAGGCGGCGCGCGAGTTTAGCCCGCAGTCTCCAGCCTCGCGCTCTTGGGGGCGGGTCTACCGTGAGAAGGGGGAACGCCTGTCCTGCCGGCCGACCTGAAGTCATCTTCTCTGTTGCTGCAGCCACCTGTACTATCATCGCCACTCCCTGATTGTGGAAGGGAAGATGGAGCCGGTGACCGTCACTACTGACAGCGGGGACCGGCCTGCGGCCCCGGTGGGCTCAGGTCTGTCGGCTTCCCAGCGTCGGGCCGAGCTGCGGCGGCGAAAGCTGCTCATGAACTCTGAACAGCGCATCAACCGAATCATGGGCTTTCACAGACCTGGGAGCAGCGCTGGTGAGAACCTCTGTTTCCCCTCAGTGTCCAGCCCACCCCTTTCAGTCTTCAGAATCTTTCTTTCCTTCCACCCCGCTGATCTTTTTGGACAAGCCCTGCAGAGTCTCTGGTTCCCCGCCCCACTCGGTCCCTGCTCTCTAGGTGATGTTCCAAGTTCTCACTTAAACCCCGGGCGTTTCTATTATAGTTGCTCTCCCCAGTTTCCCGGAGGCTTCGCCCAGAGGTGGTCCTACCCACGCTGGAGCTGCGAAGCCCTCGCTCCAGAGTCGCTCTGCCTTGGTGCCTTCTGCCCGGTGTACTGAGACGACCCTTTCATCCTTCCCCACCACTTCGCCTCTCTTGAGGGGCGCACATTTTATCCCCAGGCCGACTGTTATGCCTATTGTGTCTCTCAGGAAGATTGCTTTCCTTTCTGTTCCGAATGCTGTCCCTTCCCGTGCCTTGCCTAGTGTCTGCCCCCTCTTCCCTTTTGCTATAGCTCTTTCGGTCCACATGAGCTTGTCTTTACTGAACTGCCCCCTAGTCCTTCCTACGTGGACCAGGGACTCTTACAGTCATATCCTAGCGTCTGTTCAGTGCCCTCAGCAATGTCATCTTCAGGCCTTCAAAAACAGGCGAAAAAAAATTGGAGCGACCATTCTTTATAGACCCAACAAGTGGGACGGTGCCCACCGAGGCCTTCTCTCCTAGTGTGCAGAGATTGATGTGATTGATGTCAAGAACTGCATTTAGTCCTAACGGGAGTTCCTCATTTCTCCCCAGTGACATGTACAGTGAGTTTCTTTAAAAAAATTTTTTTCATGTGAGTATTTATTAAACACGTAGCATGTGCTAATGCCCTATAAGTTTTCTTTGA